TATATATATATATATATATATATATATATATATATATATATATATATTTATCTAACCTATTCCAGTGGAGGATGAAAAATAATAATAATAAAAAAATCTAATTAAATATCAAGTTGAAGAGCTGCGGTTGAATCCAAAACAGCAATAATTTTAAAGATGGGAATATTTTCCGCTATTTTGTTGCTTTGAATAAGAAAACTCTGAATGGGGTTGAATCTGTGCAAATTGCTTAATGTGAAATGAAATTGAGACATGCAATGGGGTACCAAAACATAAGTTTATATTTATGCATACCCCTTTTTGAACATGTCACAAGAAAGACATGTAAAATGTGTTCTAGTGAATGTTTAACATTTGAACATGTTTGAAATAAAATGTATACATGAACAAAAGAATGAATGAATAATGATTAAATTACAATCCCCCAAAAAATACACTTTACACTGTCCATTAAATCTATTTGTCCTTAGTTTTTAAGGAATTTTTAAAATTTAAAACAAGAACATGTGTTAAACATGTTTTACACACTGTTTAATTACCCCTTCTGAAATTATTATTATTATTTTACATAGTACTTTACGTGTTTTCAAACTGCTATTTACATGTTTGACATTTAGACCTGCTGCTTTGGGTCTAAGTAGGTTAAAAAAATAAAAGGCCATTAAAGAAAAAAGGTGCAATTATTTAATTTGTTAGTAAAATGAAAGTCAACTATCATTTTGTTCTTTGTGTGTGTCAGCGTGAAGAGGAAGAAAGGAAAGAAGAGGAGAGAAGAAGAGCGACGGAGGAGCGCCGTCGCCTCGAAAGGGAAAGAGTTCTGAAGGAGCGAAGAGACGAGGAGGAGAGAGACAGAAAAATGAATGAGAAACTACAGATGATCGAGGAGCAGAGGTTTGAACAGTCCACACCATTTCTGTTTGTTAACGGTTAGGTTTGGTGCAATTTAGAATAGGAAAGAACTTTTAACTCATTTAACGTGTTTGAACAATAAAGTTTGGGCATCGTGATGAGCTTCAATTTCAGTTTCTCTATTTCTTGTAGAAGAAAACAGAAAGAACAAGAAGAAGAGCTGCGCAAAAAGGAGAAATTAAGATGGGTGAGTGTAAATATCTCGCAGAAATTATACTTTTTACAATTACTTGCACAAAATGAGACTTGTCCTCTAGCTGGCCTAAATACATATATAACATAAAAATAAAAATGATATACCACCTTGTATATGTGTTTGTCAATGAGGCTGAAACAGGAATCTGTTTTGAAGAAAGGCTGTGTGAGTCAGTCTTAGTTTACCAAGCAGTAGTTATGGATCCACCTCTTTACTTTAGGATTAATGAGATTTACATGGTCCTATGTCAAATTAAAGCAGGAAAACCATTAAAAATGTTTGCACAAGTGTACAAATATTTGCTGCTGTGCATTTTAACTGACAGGAGCGGCAGCAAAGCGAGCACGAAGATGAAATGAGGGCTCGACTTCGGAGAAGTGAGTCCATAGAGAAAGCAGCAGTAAGTTATTTTTATTTTTTTTACTAGTTGTGTGAAAGTTTATGAAGCAGTCACACTATTCGGATCCATTTTTCTTCCGTACGTTTGTTGATGCGATTCTCATCCCACAGTTTTCAGCAATTTCAACAAGTCATACATCAAAACGTTCAGTTCTTTCTGGACAATCCTGCTATGAGTTTTATTGATGCAACTTCAGCTTTTTGAAACATTTAGCCTTTTTTTTTTTTTTTGGCCATACCTGTTTCTCATAGAAAATTAATTGAGCTCATTTTACATCCTTCACATCTTTAGACCTGTTTACAACCTTTTACTGCTCCTTTCACATTCTGTTCTGGTTCAGCTTTTTTCAGCTTCCTTGTGCAAATAAATAAATCATCTGCTATTTTCAGCTATTTTTAACTGTTTAGTGCTCCGTTCAGAATCTTTCTACTAATTACATTTTGTGCTTCTTCTAACTTATGTCTGCTAATTTCAGCTTGTTATTCTCCTTTCAGCTTATTTCTGCAAGTTTCAGCTTTCTACTATTTTAACTACTATTTAACTGTTTTATGCTAATTTAAGTGTTTTCAGCAAATTTCACATTTTTTGCACTCATTTCAACTTTTTTCAGCCTAGTTCCACAAAATTCAGCTCTCTCTACTTCCTTCTTGTAATTTCAGCTTCTTTCTGCTTATTTAGCTACTTTCAGCTGTTTTTGTGTGTGCTTATTTCTGCTTCTTTCAGCCTAATTGGGTGTTCTGCTTTCTTATGCTAATCTAAGCTTGTTCTACCTTTTCAGCTACCTTTTTAGCAAGTTTTAGCTGTTTTCAGATAACTTAAATTCAAGTTTTCCAATGGTAATTTCTGCTACTTTCAGCCTAATTAACTTATTTCTGCAAATGTCAGCTTATTATGCTCCTTTCAGCTTATTTCTCCTAGCTCCAGACTTTTTTGCTGTTTCAGTTACTATTTAGCTGTTTTTGTGCTGGACTTATTAGCCTTTTCAGCTAATTCCATTCTTTTTTTTTTTTAACTCATTTCAGCTCTATCTGCTTCCTTCTGGTAGTTTGAACTTCTTTCTGCCTTTTCAGCTACTTTTCAGCTATTTTGTGCTAATTTCATCTTTTTTTGCTACTTTCCTAAATGTTGTGCTCATGTCTGTTTATTTAAACCTAATTCAGCAAATATGTGTTCTTTCTGCTTTCTTCTGCTAATTTAGGTTTGTTCTTCCATTTCAGCTACAGTTTCAGCATGCTCTTTTAGCTAATTTCAGCTGTTTTTCAGCACATTCTTCTGCAATAATCATTCACACTGCATTTGTGCAGGAAATACAATTTCTGTAGTTATTATAGTTTTAAATTAGCAGTTTGTAACTGGCTTCAGTATGGAAACACTATTTACTAGAAGAGTAATGTTGAAGACAGTAATGATAAACATAAATTCATCATTTATTCTAATTTTGTCATGAAACATTTACTGACATATAGGAAGCAGCAGCTTTAGTGTCCCAACGCTCCATGAACCCGAGGGAGTTCTTCAGGCAGCTCTCATCTTCTTCACAAAGTCCCACGAGTCCTGGATCTTCTCGCACTGGTACGAGCTTCAACAGAGACTCACCTTCAGAGTCCAGTAAATGTGTTTAATGGTTTTGGCTGTCCAGTGTGTGAGTGTCTCAGAACTGGCAGAAAACAGCTCTGTTTGTCTCTAGGAAAACCGTTCAGACGATATCAGCGCAGTCTCACGGACACAGCCTTCATCTTCTCTAAAGCAGAGGAGAGTGCAGCAACCTCTCCACGAAGTTCTCCCCTGGTCTCCCCCTTCTTGAGGGCGCCTCCATCCCCCATTTTCCAGGCCACTTCTCCCCCTGAGAGCCCTGTTTTTCATCCTCTTAGCTCGCCGCAAAGACCCCGAGCCCCTACGTCACCAGCCACATCACCCATTCGTCCTGCACCTCCCTCAGCCCTGCCCAGCATCCCTCAGACTAATAACCAAGCTGCAGCTGAGCCCACAGAACCCTCAGCACCCCCAACCTCGCCCAGTCTCCTGGCTTCTTTAACCCCCAGCCTAATAAGTGACAACCCCTCTCAGTTGCATTTGGAGGCCGAGGCAACCTCAGCACCAAACATCCCAGCGCAGACAGACTGGACGTTGAACTTTGAGCCTGGTCTTCCTCCACAGGTTCTGGCAGATCCTATTCCCGAGTGTCCGGAGCTGAACACAGGTACGTTCCCATGGCGGACTGACATTCAATGAAGCTGTGTTTTCATTGTACAACACATACAACCTTTAAAAAAAAGCATTACAGTACAATAAAATACACGTTACAGTTTCCCTTCTTTATCGCAGGGGTTACATTCTGGACCCCCCTGCAATAAGTGAAAAACTGCGAAGTAGGAACACTATATTTATTTTAGTATTTATATTTTAAGGCTTTATAAACCCTTCCCATACTCTTGAAAATGTTCCAAACTCTTAAACCTACGTAATTTTAACAACATACATATATGTACTGCAAAGTAGCTACATACTGCAACATTTTATATATGGTAAATGGTAAATGGACTATACTTATAGCGCCTTTCTATCTTATTTCAAGACACTCAAAGCTCTTTACAACAATCTGTGCCTCATTTACCCATTCATACAGCACTCTACTAGATCTCTACAAAGCTAATTGAACAATCATTCTAACGAGACTAATCAGTGCTTTAGATCACATTCATACACTGATGGGAGACACACGTCAGAGGCTATGAGGGGTTCAGTGTCTTGCCCAGGGACACTTCGGCATGTGACTGCTGGTGGATTCGAACCCCCAACTCTCACATTCGAGGACGACTGCTCTAACCACTCAGCCACAGCCGCCCCCAATATGGGTACTAACCAGTCTTGGTCCAGTTCTGATCAGCTCTCTGCAGCCGTTGAGCACCAAGATGCTTTTAGAGAGCCAGACCTTCTGATAACAGCACAAAACCACACATTGGTCCTGAACGAGTTCAAATTCAGGTAAAAAAAAAAGTCCCAGTGAGCTATGGAGAAAACATCAGACTTCCAGGCAACGCCTCCCCGCTCACAAGGCCTCATGGGCCATCAAGCAGCAGTCAGATTAACCGATGAGGCTGGAAGTCCGGTTCTGGTCCAATTCCCATTCAGTTCCGTACAGCTCTCTGCACCCACTGAGCGCCAAAGTAACTATGAATAAGGACCAAACTTTTTCGGATCAGATCAAAACTTTCCCCTCATTTCAGCAGAAAGCAGCAGCCGGCAGCACTGTTGGCTTCTGGGTAATGTAGTCCTTTTGACTGACAATACAGTTTATGTTTATTGAGAGAAAACTACAAAATGGCGGCGACTTTCCGAAGTATTTATTTATTTTTTGTTAACTTTTCACTGTATCTCTTACAGTCCCAATCATGTGAGTGATATTAAAGTTGACAATCATGTGTCGTCTACAATCGTTTTTTTTTTTTTTGGTCGTGCACAATCTTACTTTGAAAAACCACAAAAGAGCAAGTCCGCAAAAGTCCAACCGTGAAGTAACGAAGGACTACTGTACTGTCCCCATGAGAAAATTGTTTTGTCTCATTGCAGTCCCACTGCCTTCACATTCTTCAGAAAAACTAGTGAAGTGGTTTCACAAAGCAAACTTAAGGCAAGAGATATTGTGCAATTACAGTTTCAAAACTGTACAAATGTAAAAACAGGGAGGTTTTGCTCAACTCTTACTGCAGTATCAAAATAAACGTTGCACAAGGTGTTTACTCTTTGCCAAGCTTTGCCCCCCCCAAAAAAAACCAAACAAACAAACAGCTTAAACCTACACAAATCCTTTAATTAGCAAATTCACAATAATTGACAATTTATTCCAATGACATATTTTTTAATTACCAGACCTCAGCGCAGCGAGTCAAGTGCACATGATGCAGATGTTGGACACTGGCTTTAAAGTTCAAGCTGTTCTCGTGGAGGCAGATGAGGAAGAGGATGTGGAAGAATGTGATGAAGATAAGCCTGAAACCCAGCCGGAGCTGTGTGCTGCTGCAGCAGCAACAGCTCCGGCTGAGGCGCAGGAGGTAGAGGAGGAGGAAAGAGAGGAGGCCAAGGAAGAGGAAGAACAGGAGGAGGATCAAGATGAGGAGGATAAGGAAGAAGAGGAGGAGATGGGATCAGAAGAGGAAGCCGACCCTGCGTTGGTGGAGGGTCTAGAAACGCCACAGGATGAAGAGAAGTCAGAGGAAGATGTAGAGATTGAACATTCAGGAGACATCCAGCCCCCTGCGGAGCCTGCTGAGGTTTCAGAGGACGAGGAGGAACCTTCACTCCCAGGTAAACTCTGTGGATGTGCGACTTGTTCTTTCATGACATGCCCTGTCACAACGATTTTAAACGTGCGCTACAGCTTTCTAAATATGTCTAATCCTATTAAGTTATTATTGAGTTGTTATTATTTCAGATGATGAGCCCATTTGTCAAGAGATTAAACATGAGACTGTAATCTTGTCGGCCAACGGGATCACAAATGGTGCAGGCTCAGAGGAGCACAATGGCACAGGTTTGACTTAAAACAAGCACTTTCTCTGTGGTGATCATATCTGAACTTTGTGTCCTCTTGCAGTTTTACCTGGAATAAAAACTTTGCACGTTGCTTTTTTTTTTTCCCCTCAGTGAGATCTTTAAGTCCTTCTGACACAGAGGGCAGCACGTCCGAGCTGACAATCTGCTACAGCACTGCAGGACACGATGACATCATTGAGAACATGAAGCAGGAAATCTCAGAAAATGGACAAGAGGTGTTTATATCCATATATCAGTCATCACAAGTTCTGGTTTATTTGAAGATATAAACTTGTTTTTGATTAAATGATCCTCAATATAACTGTGAGAATCAGAAAACACCCCTTAAGTATGTGGAGTGAACACAAATAAGTCCTTTGATGAAAGAAAATTCATGTAAATATACTAAACTTTTCCTTTTCTTTTCTCCTTGATTGTGTTGTTTTTAAGTCGAGCGAGAAATGCAATATTTTTATGATTATAGTCTTTTTTGACTCAATTTATCTGTCCACTGCAGGATTCAGCTGAGCAGCACATGTGCGTCCGAGCGCTGTACGACTACCAGGCAGGTAAGCTGCCATTTGGAGGATAATTACCACACATGTGCACAGAAAGTGCCTCCATTTGCAGTAATTACACTGTGATTATCTGGTCTTCAACATGTTATCTCTCCGTTCCCACAGAGGACGAAACCGAGATCTCCTTTGAACCAGGTGACATCATCAGGGATGTGGAGACAGTGGACAAAGCCTGGTGGAGAGGGTGGAGCAAGGACGGTCAACAAGGCTTGTTCCCCGCCAATTATGTGGAGACCATATAGGCAGACCGAGGCACATTGTACACACACACACACACACACACACATGCTCAGGGACACCTTCTTGCATCTTGTTTCAGCATGTTTTTATCTTAATCCACCCACTGAAATGTTATACTTTCTCTATAGTTGGAAGAATAAAGACGCATGCAACTCCTTGTTTTGAAGAAAGAATAAAGAAAAGTGTGTCTCTCAATTTTGATTTTTTTTTTTAATATATGTTTTTTAGAAAACACAAGCATGTAGATTTCACCCAGCCTCATTTTTGTTGAAACAATCGCAAAGCCTTTTTTTTTTTGTGTGTCTTCCCTGGACCAAAATAACTTATTTTCTTTTAAGATAGTGTGGAAATGTTGGTGGGGGGAGATCACAACATCAAATGATCACAAACTTGCCTTTTTTTTCCTGAGTAACAAACGGAAAGTTCATTATTTTTTTATTTTTTTTAATCCACTCATGCTATAAGCATAACTCTGCCCACCATTTGTCTCCATATACCAGGTATCATCTTGTAATCATCTTTGTATGTTCTGCATAATTCTGTAGCTCTAATAATTTGTTTCCAGAACAGTAAAATCACCCAAACCAGAACTTAAGCATCAAACATTATATATAAAATAAATTAATTAATTAAAAAAAAAAATGTGGAAAGTGGTGTTAAATTTAACATTCGTATATTTCTACATTTTGGGTGGGTTGTATTGTGTTCATATGTCTTTACATTTATTTTATTATTATTTTACCTTATTTGCAAGTTTGTTTTTTAACATTTTATTGTATTTTTTCTGATAATCCTGCAGTTTTAGCAATCTTCAACATCATTAAAACACTAAACTGTATAAAATAATGTATAAAAAAATACCGGTCATTGTCCCTTTTGTATGTTCTGTGCTTGTTTATTTGCAATTGTTCATTTGTATTTAATCAAATTATACAAATATATAGCATTTACACAGTCAATTTGTTGAAAAAGCGTTTTTGTCTTTTAGTGAGTGGCTATTTTTAGCAATAGTCAAGATTGGCTTTTGTCTTTATGAGGTCACATTTCTATTGTTATTATTATTATTTTTTTGCTAATGTTATTATTTAGTGTTTGTTTTAAGACTATAATAATATCTATATGAAAAAAAAAACTAATTTATTTTACTTGCGTTACACACTTTGTTATTGGAAAACCAAAGAACAGCCTCAAGTATCAAGTGATAAATAGTAAGTAAAAGTAATAATAACAGTTCAGAGTACAGACAGTTCATATCTTATGCAGTCTCTAAACCACATTTTTGATTATTTTAAACTGATTATTTATTTTGTTATGGTTCACAAAGTATGCCAAGACGGAAAAAAAAGACAAGTAAAACAAAAAGTGGCACAAAAAAAAGTTGCAGTACTGCCCTGTGACCTATAGGTGGAGACATTGCCTTTTTTCACATTTTCAGAGACTGTTGAGAAAGAGTTGACTGAATTGAACAAATTCCTCAGGACAAAAGGCAAAACATTTTGACAGGCAGAGAGGAGGCTCATTGTTAGACTTATTTCGGACGCAGGATATCCTGACACTCCTAAAGCTAAAAATTGCTAATGCTTCTACACCTTAAACAGGATTTTTTTTTCCCCCTGGGATAATACTGATTGATTGGATATGACATTAATATTTCTTAACCGTGCACCTTTAATACTTACGGGGCGGCTGTGTTACGCTCTCATAGTGCCAGTTCAATAATAGTGTTTGGCAGATGTGCCTGTGTTCTGGAATAGAGAGGTAATGTTTGACATGGGTCTCATCCTTCTTGAACTGATGCCTGTTGACAGACTGACTAAATCTATCCAGGAGACTATTCTGTCAAAGTTACCCCAGAAGGTTAATCATCAGTGATATGTGTGAAGAAGTGATGAGTCTCTTATGAAATATTAATTGGTTAGTATGAAGAAGATGGCAAAAACCTCAAATGAGCAAGATTGGGCGATAGAGGGGGAAAGGGATAATTAAAGTTTTAAAGTGGCAGTGAGATGGAAAAGTATATAGAGAGCATTAGATTTAATTTTATATTCGGTTTGCGTTAAAACAAATAAACAACTAGAGTGAAAGATAATTATGAGAGCAGAACATTTGGACTTGGAGAAGGCAAATCAGGCTCGACAGTTTGTCCCCGATGTTTTTGTTCCCATGGTCATCCTTACAACTCCAGAGATCCCTTGTCTCTTCTGATTAAGCGGACTGATATGGAGGCGCCAGCTATTGCGCCAGTCAACTTTCCTTTCCTCTCTTCCTTTTTGTCTTTAGGCTGTTCTTTCCTTCTGTGACCGTCATCAATAACAAAAGCCCCCTCAACTGTGGTATAAACCAACAGCGAAGACCACAACCCCCTCCCCTCGACTTTCCCTTTATCTCTTCTTTAAGTGACAGACCCTATCTGACCAGCGGAGAGGCTGACAAGTGTGGGATGGCTGAGGTAAGATGGCGGTAGGGAAGTGCCACTCATTGTAGCGTTATCAGCCTAATAGCAGTGACAGAAATCTAATCTGACCTGGCTGCTGATGGTTTGTGGCCTATTGGCTAGGGTTGTGCTCTGGCAACCCCACAGAGACACTTACAGGAAAGGAGAGGCGCAAACACGAAGCACACACACAACCGCTGATGCCCACCATCCTGAGCCCTCGTTTCTAAGACAACCTACCTCTCCTGTGCGCTTCTCAACTTTTTCTTGTTACAGTCAACAACTAGGAGGTGCCACAACTTTCTTGATTAATTGTGTTTGGGAGAGCTGTCATTTTGCAGAAGGAAAAAAAAAAAAAAAAACTAACTTCAGCACTTTTTTAACTTTGCCTCGAGCCTTTTGTCTGTAACATACTATAGCTGCAAGCATGGATCGGTGAGAGCAAAGCAAACTTTTTTCCTTTTTCTTTGTCTCAAACAAAAACGCAGGGAACCACCTCCACTTTATTTAGTTGTGCTCACCCTGAGGTCTATCGCCAAAAAAGCTGCCTGCTTGAATCTGCCTTGTTTCAAAGTGCTGGTGCTCAAAGTTGCTCTAAAGGTTCAGCAGAACTTGCAGTCCTATTCTTAAAACATGTAAGGAACTCCCATTGTATTCCTCTCCTGCAGAAATAAAGGTCAGTTTTTGGAAGAACACCATCCCTCTTTGAGAAGACGGTTTCTGTCTCTTTGTTTCGTGAGCCAAACTGTCTCGGCAGGGAACAATTTGTTTGAGAGAAACCTTACACAGAACGGAAACTCTGTTGCTGACATGGTATTGCATCAAAACTAAATACAGTTTTGATGTTGTTTGCCTTTGAGGCAACTTCAATGCTGAAGCAGTTATCTTCTAAGATAAAAAAAAAAAAAAAACTGTTTCCCAACATGCTTTAGCTCAGAGATAAATCCATCTTGTATAAGTGCTGATAAAACCTTTGCTTTTTAAACATCTATCTTGCCCTTAACATTGTCATTTTCTCTTAAGAAAATCTTCAAAATCATTGAATGCTTTGGAAGCTATGGTTGGCTCCAGGCAAGATTTTACTGTCAGTATAGAAACTGGCCCATTAACTTCTAAAGTCCTCTTTGGCAAAGCTCTCTATCCCCTCCATTGCCATCAAAAAGCTATTTTCCTCGGCCAGTCCCACACAGCTCTAACAATGCATGGAGGATTATAACATTTCACTGTCTTGAAGCAAGAAAGGAGAAGGAAAAAATGGATTTTAAAGAAGTCTCTTGTCTCCAGTCACTGGTGAAGCGCAGCTGGCAGCATTTCCACTTCTAGATCTTTTTTCCTGACATGATTCCCGAGAGGTGGCTTTTGCTTTTGCGATGTAAATCCTGCACTTGTGATCAGCTAACATGTGGCATTGTGATCCCATCACATCACAGGGATTGTTTTGTTCCCCACCTTCAGTTTGTAACTGATTAAGTCTGGCAGTCTATTGTGAAGCCATCTTCAAAGTGGTTGGAAACCACAAGGGAGCATTGGTAGTTGTTAATTAATACAATAGAATCTGCAGTTGTTTTATTTTTCTCATTTGAAAGATTAAAATAAAGGGGGGGGGAATAAAATTCATGCTTTAAATCTAGCAACAGGCATATTTCCTATAAATCTTTTACATCAAGACATCACCATGACAAGCTGTCATTTCACAGAAACGTTTTCTTTTAAATGCTCTGTTAATGTTTCAGATGAACCCCATCCCTCTGGTTCAAGTTTGTTAGAGATAAAACACAGAGATAAATAATTGAATACGTTTTAAGATTTTATAAATTACTATCAATTCCTTGAAGGTATAGGTTTTGGGGTGAAATAAACAAAATTAGTAAAGGCTAAAAAATCGAATATTTTCTAGAAAAAATTATGGGCTTTAAAAAATATGACATCTTCTTTGCTGGCTGGTAATTTCTTAAGAAGTCATCATCATCATCATCATCACCCAACATATAAATGTGATTAAGGGCCTGGAGATTAGTAATGGGCTGAGCTGTCTCTTACCCTAAAGACTAGTATGGTTGAAAGCTCCCCATTGTCCCTTTAGTCTCTCTCTCTCTTACACACACATGTGCATGTGCACACGCACACACTTAACATTGGCGTTTGCAGACACTTTGCCATAGGCACCACAATCACTGCCAGATGTTGTGACTTGCTCTGATACAATTCATTCCACAAGTATCTCTGAAGGAGTAATGCCGATGGTTGTGTTTGAGGGGTATGATTGTGTGCGAGTGTGTGTGTTTGAACGGCGATGTGCCAGTGGCAGTGTGAGAAAAGGACACATATGAGATCAGATAGACTTCAGACTAAATCACAGCCTGTCCTAGGGACAATAAGCAGAATAATGTGAGACTTCTTTTCTCGCAACATTTAGGCTAGACCCGGGGGGACAGAGAGTTTATTTTTCTGGCTGAACGACAGGATCCAGGCTCAGAATGTGTGCAAAGTTGTTAAAAAAAGAGAAAAAGTAGCAAAGTCTGGCAAATCGTGTGATCACGTTTATGATAAGTGGCATAGTCAATGTTATCTTTTATAAGAAATAAACTGTTTGGTGCTTTCCACTGGTGTTTCCATGACTGTGATGGTAATCATACAGATTGATAGTGGATGAGACATCCAGTGCCAGCTCTTGGCAGCCCAGGCACCTTGCCCACCCCTGGGAAGGTAGATGATAAAGAGCAACAGCTAATAATTAATACCATGATTACACAGGCTGGAACAACACTGGGGGGAAACCATCATGCACACAGACATGGCCCTGATCAAAACATACAGCAACACGGCATGAGCATGCATGTTTAGAAACTGCACTCAGATCAGTATTACTGTGATATCTAACATTTATCAAAATACACAAATATATTGAAGCAATTTATATCATTAAAGCATAAAAGTCCAAATACCATGTTCCTGTGTTAATCCAGTGTGTATCTCTTGGTCCTTAAGTCAGAGTCCCTCAAATATAGTAGAACAGTGTATCAGTGCAAAAAGTAGTGGTGTCTGCAACATAACTGCCACTGATACAAAAATAAAAATAAGATAAAAATCATAGATATTGTTTAAGAAACAAGACAGAGTGGTTGCTTTGAAAGTAAGAATATAATAGAGAAATGTGTAATTCTTTCTATGTTTTATGATTATTTAAAAAATCATCAATGATCCAAAACAAAAACACTATAATACATCAACGTAGACATTATAATGGGTTTTGTGTATTTAAAATTTTCTTCCTTTCAGTGAGCAGGTTACCCTGGTTCAAATCCCAGGCTGGGGTGTTTCTGGGTGGAGTTTGCATTTTCTCTCCGTGCATGCGTGGGTTTTCTCCGGGGTACTCCGGTTTTCTCGCACAGACCAAAAACATGCATGTTAGGCTGATTGTTAGGTG